TTGGCGGTGCAGATGTGTTGGTTATTAGAGAGTAACAGGTGTGCGGGTAGGTAAGATAGGCAGGTAACGCAGAGAGACTCACAGGAAAACAAACTCTCTGTCCGGTCGTTGGATAGGCGTATATTTTTTTCTAATCAAAGTAGTTATGTAGCATAATAGAGATACAGTAGTAATCCAAAGGGATTTATTAAATATGGCTCCTTAAGACAAAGGTAAGGATATAACTGATTACGGTTTGTTTTTCTTATACAGTTGAACAATTTTTAGTTTGTGTGTGTTGCTGCACAGTTAAACGCTTAACTGGATTTTGTTTCGCTTTTGTTTATTTATTGCTTCTGCTGTTGTGCAATTTTCTAGATGCTTTGCGAGGAAGGAGTAATGAAAAGAAATGACTTAATTTATTTGTATTCGTTAAATTTCCCCACAAGTCATATCTAGCGGTTTTCACTGGAGACCAGGTGATAGCAAGTGTCCTCAGTACACCTGCACTCTCACTGTTCCAGGTAATTTTAGTAATGTTGTCGCTGTTGTGGATTCAATTCTTCGGTGCTTTTTCAGTTCTTCCAATATTTCTGGGGTTCATTTCGAGCTCTCTGAACATGTTTATCTCTATTGAGTGAATGAACAGCACATCATCAAAGTGACCCTAGGGCACAAATATAGGAAGCCCAATGACGCTCTTCATGACAACCATCCGTTAAAGGTATATCAGGCACATGCATCACAGGCAAACGTGAGTGATATGGTGAAAGGGGTTTGATAAAAAGCAACGTATAATCTTGCAGATGGAGGCAAGTTAAAAAATATCTCCAGGTTGGGTAACCCGGTATGCTTGGGCTGTTTCCGATAGTGGGTGTTTCCAGGTATCCAGATGTAACTCGAAAGTCGCTTTTGCTGCCATCATACGCTCCAACTACTCCGTTTATGAACAGGGATGCACAATGCCGACCCCTAATGGACATGTACAGCTGGTTAAAGTCAGGCAACTCTTCTTAGCCAACCAACTGTACGGGATATTTATTGTAGTTCGTCTTAATTTATCCATGCAAAATATGTATAGGTTAACGACTTCAACCATTTAAAATCATAAGCCATTAAATCTATTTTGTCGTCGTCGTCGTCATTGTAGTAGTAGTAGTAGTAGTAAATTACTGTTTTTACTTATATGAATAGGACGTAGGCGATCATGGCTTGCCCTAGATACTTTATTAATTGGGAATTGCTATTGCTTCTTTGATGTTGTTTCATGTTGCTTTCTCTTAGACTGGTTGCTATCCAAAGCTAGAGAGAACTGTACACGTTGCTATTTAATCAATAGCTGAGGGGATAAGAGCTGGATTTATGCCTTTGCATTAATGCGAAGTGAACATTTATTTTAAGTAGAGCAGGACAACTTACCTTCGCAAATAAGTTTCTGAAAAAACAAAATTGAACACTAAGCATAAATAAATAATATCTGGAACAATATGTCACCTACTGATGTTTATAACAAAGGCAAAACATTGGGATTAATCCCTCCACTTTTCTGGAAAGAAATTGACTCCTATGTTATATGTCACACTATCAAATAAGTTGTTTTTTTTTTTTTGTGATGTCAACGAACACTCATTGCCACGTTTTTCTAATGTCAACGAATACACGTTGTCACTTTCGTAATGCTTATTGTAGTAATCGCATATACAACTAAAATAACGCCGTTGAACAATGCTGGTGTCAGACGCCTTCGAATAACACTCGCACTAATAGTACTTGCTCGATAATACTCGCTCGAATAGTAACCACCGAATAGTAATCCGTATAGTGATCAGTATAGAGAAATAGGTGAATAGTATAGAGAATAGCGATCCGTATAGTAATAGAGGATAGCGTAGAAATAGTGATCAATTAGACGCCACTCTAATTCCCATATATACATTTAATTTACAATCTCGTGATCTACTTATTCAAAATGGGATCGCCTGTGCTTGCTCTCTGGTGATCTGTGTTCAAGCTCCAGTGTCGACAGCGACACTTTATTCCTATATAACATTATTACAAACAAAGCACAACATATTTTTTTATTTATAAATAAACCCAAAAGATATAGGCCGTGAAATAGAAACACACACACACACACACACACACACACACACACACACACACACACATATATATATATATATATATATATATATATATATTTGATTGACACAATATCCTATAAAACTGAATAGATTATGATTTTTTTTATTTATGATAAACCTTATGACTTTCCTCAGTCTTTTTAATATTGATCTTATTAACCTTTCTAATGTGTTGACTTTAATATTGCTTGCAGTAGTTTTTATTTCTTCTATGATCTTCTATGATCTTCTATGATCGAATATTGCTTTCAACTCACGAAGGCATTTCTTTTAATGATGGGCCACAAGCTTGAAGGAGCCATTCATGAATTGTTGTCGAGGTTTCTTGAAAGCCTTCTTTATGGGGGGGGGTAAGTTGGTCAATAAAATCTTTTATAGAAAAAACATTGTAAAATTTGAAGGAACACTGTCTTTCTGAAATATACTCGTTTGCCTAAAGCTTCTTGGTTGTGATTTGTGTCATTCAAAACATGTCTTTTCTAAGAGCTTACAATCATTCTCTGCATTTACCTTGACACCATGATAATCTCTGAAGAGTCAGGTAATTGTATTACCTTGAAAACAGTCCAAACATTACTCCACTTCCACCTGTTCTGTCCTTAGTTATGTTGGTTGACTATTTCAATGAAGAAAACAAATTCCAGCCATCAGGTCCATCCAGTATAGTTCAGCACTAATAAATAATGTCGAGGAACCAAATTCTATGTACTTCTTTGCCCAACGTAAACTTTTCCTTGTGATGTTTACTTAAAGGTGGTAGTTTGGCTTTTTAAATGTTTTTGATAATGTTCTTAACATTCTATATATTTTCTTTCTGTTCACATTTGAAAACACCAACTTCAATTATTTTCTTTCTTGTCAATTCACCTTTCTTCGTTATTTTAATTTTTCTCAGATCTTGTGGAATTCTTAAAAAAACATTTTTTTTTTATTTTTGCAAATATTTTCAAATTATTGATGGCTTTGTTCTCTTTTGCGGTTATATCTTTCTTACGACACAGCAATCTTTTTTAATATCTGAAATTTAAAAAATGATTATCAGTAACTATACCATTATATATATATATATATATATATATATATATATATATATATATATATATATATATATATATGTATGTATATGTTGCACTAAATATATATTCAACACACTGAATACATTAGTAGCTCACCGTAATAAGACTGACTATAATTTTGCTTTAAAATAAATACCACAATAATTAAAAGAGAAAGCAATTCACTAAAAACGTGTATAGAAAGTGCTTTAATTGCTAGATCATCCACAGTAAATTTGCGTCCAGGTTCTTATATATAACATTTCACCTTTCTTGGCAGGTTTTCTATTATCACAATGTGGGATATTTGATAACAAGTGATGCAAACATAATGATAAAGAAAAAGAATCTAAATGCAATCGGTTATATTAAAAAAGAAATTAAATTTAAAATTCTCAGCGTCCCCTTTTCTTTGTGCGCATGCGTAGTCGCATCAACATAAACATTAATTTAGTTCGATGAAGTTATAAAAGACGAAACGGGACACATGAAACCTTTTTCGACTTTGTAATATTTCTTTCCATAAAATTATTCGTGATATATAAAAAAATGTATATCGTTTACCCAGATATAGTTTAAAACGAACAGTTGAAATGTTTTGAATTTATAGAAATACATATACACATTCAAAGACAATTTAACCCCCTAAAGATGTTCTCAGATTGAAAGTACTTGGGAAAATAAAAACTATTCGAAAGAAAATTTTGGTATTTTTCTTAATCATTTTTCCAAAGCTATCAAGAAATTAATCCGCAAACTCGAAAGGATCACAATGAAAACTAATCAACATGATACGTCTAAATTATTTAACCAAACCTGTTTGAATGAAAATATGCTACCTAAATATACACACACACACACACACACACACACACACATATATATATATATATATATAGCACCATACTGAACAACCCTCAAATTGCATAATAAAAATCTTACACTATCATATTAGTTGGTCTAAATATTTTTTTAATAAAAATCAAATATTACAGACTGAAATTCATACGGTATAAATAAAAAAAGGGCCGTCTATCTCAAAATGAGATGCGTTCACTATCATAACTTATATATATATATATATATATATATATATATATATATATATATATATTGAGACATGTTTGATTGAATAATGTAGACAATTTTTGTCTACTTATTTTTCAATTAGATCCTTTTATATTCACGGACAAGCTTTTTGGTGTCATTATTAAAGGAAGAGTGACAATCACCATGTTGATACATATTTTATTCCAAGTACTTTCAACATTAGCACAATGTCATCATCAGGGTGTATATTTCAAGAAAAATATTGTCGTGTTCATCATTTTCAAAGTCAAAATTGCTGTGTTCATCTGAAATTTTTTTCACTTGTGAAGTAAAGAACGCTGAGTCAGTACGTGTTCCTTGACATTATATATATATATATGTGTGTGTTTGTGTGTGTGTATATATTCTTACGACCCTCCCCCGTCCTCGAACCTTATCGGTAGAGGAGGATCGTAACCTGTGTTATTTTTTTAACATTTACTCGTAAAATATACATTTTTCGTAAAATATATTTCTTTCCCAAGGGTCTCTTTCCGATTGATCAGAAACGGCCGAGCGGAATCGATTAAGGAACAAACACGATAGGCGACAAACTACAATGGAGACATGGAGTATAAATTTATTAACAAACGTAAAAACATGAGAAAAAACGAAAAAATGGGTAAAACAAAAATGACAATGTGTCAAGAATAAACATTTAAACATTATGCACAAGTTTACAAAACATCAAAATTTTAAGACAAGTAGAAAAACACTTAATAAAAAGGATCTCATGGTAAACTTGCATGAAAGTACAAACATGAAACAGAAGTACATTTAAAATAAATGAAGTACAAGAAAAACAACGAACTTATCGCGTAATAAAAGTTCTTTTCCACTAATTTCTCTTATATCTACTTTTTTCTCTTCCTCTTTCCTTTTCTGTTTCTTTTTATAAGCGTCTCCTTTTGAGGTCTTTTTTTACTTTCTTTCTTTTAGTCCTGTCTAGGGGCTTGGGTGACGATGAAGTTGAAACTGCTTTCTTTCTCTCTCTCTCCTTCGTCTCGGTGTGTCAGCATTCTCCTTTGAGATCTTTTCTTCCTTTCTTTTTTCCCCGTAAGTATCTCTTTTTGAGATCTTTTCTCGATTTCTTTTCTTTTTCTATAAGCGTCTGGTCTCGGGACTTGGGTGACGGATAAATCGAAGCTGTCTTCTATCTCTCTTTCGTCCCGATGTAGCGGCATTCCGCGTACGTCGTAGTTTACTTCCCAGAATCCAAACATTTCTTTCGCGTTCACCGCGCTTGCGTTCGGTCGTCCATTCAAGGTTCGAAGAGGGACTTTTCTTTTTCTGTATAACCAACCAAAACTTTTGCGTTCATAGCAAACGCTTCCATGTATTCCATTCGAAGATGCATTCTCTTTCTCGTATTTTCGCAAACTCGTCCGTCCGGCCCGAAGGCCTGGACAAGACTAACTTTTTCGTTTCACTATTCGCTTCTTTTCTTTTTTCTTGTCACGTGGTCAATTTTCAAATACGAAATTTTTCCATTGTGAGCGAAATGAGGTCATTGATCTCCTCTCTCAACTGCGGGGTCAGAGAAAGTTTAGTTTAAAGTGTTTCAACTTTTCCTATCTGGAATGTATCCGTGCTGTCAACACGTTGACCAAAAGAGAAAGAAAGGGTATATTCTGGTTAATCTTTGTCGCCACTAAATCTATCTTATCTCTTTGGGTTTTTTATCTTTACGTTTTCTGCAAGTACTAGGATCTTTAGTTTAGAATGTTTTAAAAATATAATCAATGATATAGTTTTTTATAATAAATTTAAGTGTGAGTTCGTAACAATATATATATATATATATATATATATATATATATATATATATATATATATATATATATATATATATATATGGGTGATTATATATATATATGTGGGATTATATATATATATGCGATTATACATATATATATATGTGATTATATATATATATATAATCAAGACAAAGATCATTACCAAATAAAAAACCACATCACCAAGAATAGAAATAGATAGCACATGTAACTAGAAGGGAAACGAATGATAAAAATCAAGATGCTGAATTTCTACACTACCTTAGACAAAAGGTTTGGATGGAAAACCATCAATACTAAAAAAAAAAAAAAAAAGGCGATAACAGTTAATGGATGTGAGAAGTCTATTTCATTGAAGTAGAAGTCTATTTCATTGAAAAATTTTAAGTTCGGCTTACCACCATGTAGCGTTGAAATACCGGTTCCCGCACGAACAACATGCAGCCTGGTCAGTACCTCGATGGGTGACCGCTTGGGAAAACCAAGTGCTCAACGCTTGGATGTGTGGATGGTGTAATAAATAATGGCCCGGAATTGTAAATAGGAGAACTGAGTTCCAGTTTCATTTGGGAGCGTTATATTAACTTACGCACAAATGCCCTTAGGAATGGTATTAATCCACCTCTTCTCCTCCAGCTATGGGTTAATTAGTAAGACTTGTATCACTAAATCATTATTATGTAAAAAAATTCTTATAATCTAAAAATATTTTCTGGCTGCAAAGGGTTGATAAATCAATCAATGTTTTAAATTAAAGATTTTATAAATTTCATTCGACAATAACATTAAATGAATGCCAAATTTTCCTGTATGGAAACTATTAATTTCGCCATTACCATTTCGTGACAAATTTTTGCACTCAATATAGCAAAACTGTTATGAGACAGATATTGAGGATCAATATTTTAAGAGACAGGCGACACTCTTTGCCAGATGTCATCAGGGTCTTTTTTTTTTTAGTTAATCAATAAATTGATTGATCAGTTGAATGTCCAGTTATATTGATGAATACTTGTTTAAATATAAGGAAAAACAGTTTTTCTAAAAATAGATGAATATGAGTTATTAATGAATGGATAACTTCAATGAGCAGTGCTGATATAAATTGTTGCTTATCGTTTGAAATACACAAGCCAGTATTTGCTTTTCTAGATACGCGCGCATACTCCTCAAGATTTTCATTTAAACTGTTAAGTTCAACATCCCTCGGCCAGCAGGCAATCCTATGCACCTCCTCATCAATGTGAAGTCGTCTTTTTATGTAAATATTTACTTTTAATAAATTGAATAAGTAATAACAGTAGTAATCTAGCGGCTCGGCTCCAATCACTTTCCCACCGCAGTCTTTTCTATAAATATTTTGATGGTAATTGTTCGGATGAGCTCTTTGCTATAGTACCTAGACTTTTTTGAATTTAAGTACAGTACTAGACTGGTGTCGAGATCACTTAACAGCTTAGATGCATAGATGCAACCGTAAATTCTATGCTAACAGTTTCTTTTCTCGCTTGTGGAACTCTCTTCCGGCTTCATGTATTCTAGCTAACCATAATCTTCAAAAAATTTAAATGCAATGTCAATCGCTATCAACTGTCCTCCTGATTACTCTTTCCTCTTCTCGCTCATTATTAATGTTTTTGTTTCTAATTCTTTCACACCTAGTAACCTCTTGTGTCTTAGTGGCTTTACTGCCTTGCAATGATACCGATTAAAGAAATTATTAAGTGCATTGTTATTGTTTAGTGAGAGACTAGCATGTATTCGAAGCCGAATATATATATCAGGACAACTAAATCTTATAAGGGGTATACGGGGCCTATACCTCACACGTTAATAGGCTCTATATGGCGGCAGATTTTGGTAAAAGCAGCACATTACCTTGCTCATAGGGCCTAGTTTGAAATACTTTTATGTCGACCAGGGACGGGAAGTTGTGGAGAACCATGATCGCCTACGTCTTGAGGGGACACGGTACATAAAGACGAACCCAGTCCGCTCCGACGACCTCCAATTGAGGGTGTTCAAAGTACCTAGATGTGACTCCCAAGCCACCTTGGTTGCTTCATCAAAAAAAAAAAAAAGAAAGAAAAAATACACGACACCCAATTACTACTACTACTCTCGCTCATGAGCAGATAGGCTCAGTTCGTCACCCACAGCTCAGGGGGCACGCCCAGCTGGTTGTCATCAGGAAACTGACAAGCAGATCTTATCTGTGTGAAAGTTGTTGAGTTTGGTAGCAAGAGCAGATAAAGATTGTCAAGAAAGATGGGCGTAGAAGATTTGAGCACATGATGACAAGAGAGATCAAGCAATCAAGAAGACTGATGAGACATGCAGAATAAGGCAGGTCAATTTTGAAACTGAGATATTGCACTCAATTTGAAAGTTGGGGTTTCACGTGATAGATAACAACAGAAAATATTTATTTCCAAATCGTTACCATTTTCCGAGGAAACGAGTTTAAGCTCAAAATCCTAGTGTTAGAATTTAATTACGGTTTTCAGTGAAAGCATTATAGCACAGAATTATCAAATAATTTTCTGGAGCTTTACAAATTGTATAAGGACAAGATACATAACACAAGCACATTCTACTAAATCGTTCATCAAATTAAACTTGCATTTCTTTCAAGGGAAAATATGCTGAACATTTAACTATATTATGATGTAATGTTATACAGTACAGCAGTTTTATTGGAATTTGCAATAAACAATGCAGATTTAAAACAATTTGTCTTGTAATTTCTGCCCAGCAGTATTATGGTGTTATATACACAGTTATATTTTTTGTTTTTATTAATTATGATCTAACGAATCTTATTCATAAATAACATTTTTCTAATCTTTTACAATTTTTTACACAGTTTTTACTTATCGAATACAGTAAAAAAATACACAGTAAAAAATTAGAATTCTGGTTTGAATATATTTTAATTCAATGTATCTAATACAAAAGATATTAACTTTATTTAGGTTTATTTTTTAAATAGTAAAATTTTGAAGTCAGTTTGTAAGCAAAAACCTGCAGAAATTAGCTATTTCTTTACATTTTTTCAGACGATATTTAAAACTAAATGCTCAAAAATCAGTAAAAGCTATGAATCTAATTTTTGGTTTCAGTAATTACAACATCAACTTCCGGCTTTCACATTGAGTGCAATGATGATTTTTTAAAAAAGTGAAAAGTCAACCTGCCTTAATGCAGTATCTGTTGGAAAAATGAATATAGAATTGGGTCATTATTTCTTCTGTGTTCCTGATTTGCTCACACATGATGATCGAGTGTACAAGATAGAACTTATGGTTTTTTTAAGTCTTTTTCGTATTATATCTGGTCTATTGGCGTGTAAGGCGCGGCCGGTGTGTATGGTGAAGTCAAAGAACCCTATAACGTTTTCACCTTCTAGCGCTGGTGGAGGTTTGAGGTCATACCATTTTTCTGTATGGAGACGATTATAATGTTAGCATATCTTCCAATGCAGGTATTACCCAACCATATCGTGTCTATATTTGAATTAATTTGGGCCTAGGGTAGATCACCCAGATACTAGATGAATAGTTTCCTTGGCATTTATACAAATAATTATTATTATCATTGAGAAATATACGAAGAGCGATATACCTGAGTCTCATATGAGTATAGCAATCACATTCATAACAACTAAATGTACGCGATATAGTGATAACATTATCGGAGGAACCCAGTTAGAAATACTTTCTGGTCGAGTAATACAGTCTAATCAGACAGTTTGCGATTGTTCGTAAGTATCTAGATGTAACTTCAAAATCTCCTTGTTTGCTTCATTGTTTAAACTTAAAATAACACTCCCCTTAACACCCGACTGTAATGCTCCCTGCTCCCCTCCTGAACAGTGACGCCGATTACTTTAGCCCCTAGGGGACATAGCAAACTGGTTATGACTAACCAAGTGACAAGCAAGTCTGTGGCACTGAAATGGGTATTTACTATAACCTATATTATCTCACAAAGACAAAATGTGTATATGTTAATACTGCTGATCAGTTAAGAAGCCACAAGAGACATGATTGGTGTAGCATAAGTACATATTATTATTATTATTATTATTATTATTATTATTATTTATTGTACTTATTGAACTTTTACCTCGGTGATAACTGGAGATTTTATATTCAGGTATTCTTACGGATTTTATCAATGCAGTCGTCAGGTTGATTTCGATTCGTCCTCTCTGATCACAAGTTTTATTCCAAATTTTTTCAAACGCTCTACAGATTCTTCCCTTATCCGATTCTGGTAGTTTCTCCGGCTTTTCACACCTTCGATTTCTATGGAAACTTTCGGCATTCATTGACTGTACAGTTAGTGTTACTTTCGGTTGAAATGTATAAAATCTGTCTATAATTCTGAGATGAGGTATTCTAACTATTTACACTACTTACATTGTTCGAACTGTTGTCCTCATCATTATTGTGACATCCACGACGTTTCAGCCGTTGTACGCTCCGGCCTTCTTCAGGTGGTATACGTTAGAATTTTGAACCGATAAAAGCACTGGTTGAAGTAATCCAAAAGTGACTTGACTCAAAATATCGCGAGTTCAATATCTGGCCACACCAGAATTTAACAAAAACTTGGAGAGTTGCGTTACTAAAGGAAAATAACTGAAACTAAGACACCCAGAAAAGGTATGGCACGTGGAACTAGAATGATC